TCGATGGGCTGAATTGCTCAAAACGCATGATCGCACCGGCTAGTCTGGTGCGCGTTGCCATTTATTTATTTTCGTAAAGTAATTTCGAAGCAAAAAAAGTTCACAACCTGTTTACAAACATCGCCAAACATGTGTACTTTTGGATTCAGTAAAAAACAAAAAAAGTTGATTACTTTGAGTATGTTGAAGGGAATCTTCACATCTGAATTTAACGAAATGTTTTAGAGTGTCTATGTTGGTCAGCGGGTGATCTTCATTCCGTATTCGTTGATGAAAATCAATCCTGCATCGTGGATGCTGATGGTTACCAGGTACCAAGGTAAAACAGTACTTTCTGAGACAGCAGTTGTTCGCTTTCCATTTCTTCCACTTCGAAGAAATATTTGTTTCAAAGAAATAAAATTTCAGCCAAAACAGCTTTGGTAAAGTCGCGTGATTTACACTGGGGTTTATTGGCGACTCGTGACCATAAGGATATCAATTTGTCCACGCTGCGCTCGATTCTGGTTGCCGATGGTGCGAATCCGTGGTCACTGTCATCCTGCGATCAGTTTACTTCCGTGTTTCAGTCGCGTGGCCTACGATCCGATGTTATTTGTCCATGTGCTGGCTCCTCCGAAACCGGCACAGTCTCCCTGCGAAGGTATTGCACACGGTCCTTGTGCCCACCCATTATTATGCGTTTTTACGGTGCAGCGCTAAAGCGCTGCAACAGGCAACAAAAATACATTTTGTGACAATCTTATCTGTGTATGTATGCTCCTGTGTGTGTTTGTGTGGGTGTGTGTGTGTGTGTTCGAGTATTTCTACTGAGCAACCACGCAAGCTTTGATGCTAAAATTTTGCCAGTGTATCGCCTGCCCAGTTCCGACCTCAGTAATGTGATATTAGTTGTCAGGCACGTCTACTTCTCAGGTATGGGCACGCAAAAATTTTGGCGGGAAATCGCTACCTCCGGAACGAAAAACGCTAGGGAGCTGAAATTTTAAAGGAGTTTTCCTTTCTCATGTAAGACCAAAAAATTTCAAATCCAGCTCCTTAGAACTGTTCAGCACGAAGATCTGAAAGTTTAGCATGGAATAGTGCAAAAACGCATGACCGTACCGGCCCGCCTGGTGCGTGTCGACAGTGATTTTTATTGTCTTCTTGCGCGCATTATTAGCCAGTCATTTGTTTTCTGATTGGTCTTAAACAGTGCGCTCATTCTGCTCTAAATATTCTGGGAGGTGATCACATAGAAGTCATTCATTATTGCTCTGTTTTATAAGCTTCAATACTCAGTGCAGCTAGTGCGTAGGTTGGTACATCTATTCGCATTTTATAGGCCGTCGTCCACCGATGAATGTTTGCGGAATTCTGGTCGTGGTGTTCTCTCGATGTCTGCTTTGAGCCATTTAGTAGTTCGTGTGGACCAGGAGAATTCCTTGACATCTTTAACACTGCAGGTAGACCTTCATCGCGCTTGCTTTTGAGCTTTCGAAAGTGTTTTATGAAATACTGTTGCTGCTGAGGAATTAATGAATGCGGGTTTCAGGATGCTGGCCAGGTCGTTCCAGGCGGAGTAGCTGTTGTTGTGAAGCTTTCCGGTCCACCGAGATTATGTAAAGCGGACGAAATTGGTGAAATCTGTTTGTATGCACATAGTACAGGCTCGGCATATTGGGGTCTGGACGGGTTGTCGGCTAGCACTTTCAAGGTATAAATTTTTTTATTCCTTTGTCGTCTTAAGCATTTGGTATTTTGTTGCAAAGGTAGTGTTCCATAAGTTCGATTAGGACTTGTTAGGCCAGCTGTCGAGAACTTTGCATCAGGAAAATGACTATGTTTTCCTTCGCCAGCGTTTATTTTGCCCGTTTTTTGTGCCTCCCATTTCAAGACTATTAATTTTGCTAAAATAAAATACATTAGAGTAATGCAGTTGTAGTAGTAATTTTACTAATTGCACATACTTCTGTTCCCTTAAGCATACTTATGAATTTTCAGTGCGTTTATTTCTTTGATTTTAGGTAGAACCGTTGGGAATCGACGATAAACCGCTTGGACCAATACCGTATGTTCGTAGCGGATTACTGGGATTTCTAGGACCGGTGAGGTTTTTTTTCGCGCAGTTCCTGCAGCATGAATATAAAATCACCAGTTAGTTATGTCTGTTCGGTTCGGCGGTTTTCAACGCTGCTATTGTTTGCAAATTATAACATAAGAAATAAATAAAAGTAATTGTGTAAAAGTGCCACTGTTTATCTGAAGTTGTCTTATTCTGGCTCTGTCTTCCTTACTATCCCCTCCATCCCCATCTGTTTGTACCCTCGTTCTCCCAGTATTAGTCGCTAAAAACAGCCCCATTTCGTCGCTGACCGTATCATGCCGTTTGCGTTCATCACGGTT